CAGCTGAACATGAGAGGTTTTTGGACAAAGTTTGTGTTTTTTCCATTGTTTAAGCACTGCTGGGGTCACAGCTAAATGTAGACATTTCTAATCATTCTGACATGTACGACCAATCACATCTGCCCTCTGTTTAAAATCACCAACTCCACCTCCTGACACATTGTTCCATTTGCTTAGTGTTTCTTCGAGGTTTACAGGCTGTATTTTCCTGATTGTTACCCGTTTCAGTTTCATAATGACTCCATGACTAACTGTCAGAGTTTCTGTCCTCTTGCGTTTCAAACTAACAACATTTATGGTGCCTGGAGGTCAGAGCTGTGTTTTTGTCCCATCAGAGACAGCGAAGCGCTCAGTGGTTCTTTGCTGTCCGGATTTCCGTCCTCGGCTCTGATTTGTTTCTATATAAATATGTAAAGTATTGTATGTTAGGCTGAGATACAGGCACCACCTTATCGGCTCAGACAGGCTGACCATCGCTGTCCACGCAGGCCGTCGGTGTCGTTTAAAACAAATCCCTGCTCTCACGAACTGCAGCAGGAGACCTTTTCAGTCACACAAAATGTATTTGTAAGACATCTTGGATAATTACCAAAATAATTATCTGAAGTATTTTAAACATTTTTTGTGCTGGTGGCTAGAAAGACTCCAGTGGACATGGTGGGCAGAAGACTGACCGTGGCTTTGAGCGCGTGGATGCTGTGAGTGCGGGGGAAGCCCATCGAAGTAAGGATGGCAATGCTCTCCTCGGGGGGCGAGTTGCCCAGCGGGGCGGCGCCCGTGGGGCTGTCCCCGGCGGAGGGGCCGGGGTCAATCATGGAAGGCAGAGTGAGCGGCTCTGCAAAGTCTGAAAAAGAAACAAAGGAAAAAATAATGATCAGCACGTTCCCATTTATGTTTCACCTGATTACTGTGCGTTTCTGCTTTGGAGGTCAAAGGTCGCATTTCTAGAGCCGTCTGACAACGCTAATTCAAACGGTAAAGCGATTAAAGCTGATCACAGACGTCCGACCGGTGTGTGACTACTTGGCACTAAGAATATTTCAAACACAGAAACGGTCACGTCAGGAGGCGTGTGGGGGGCAGCCGATACTTACTCTGTAGTGGAAACGACACACATGCACCCTGTGGATTTGTCACAGTCAGGTTTGCTCGGGGGGGTCTGCACACCACGAGTGCTGATCTGTTAAGGTGCTTACGCCGCTGCAAACAGATATACAGGCTGGCAACGAACACCTGGAAACAGCTGGAAACAGCTGGAGCCTACACTGAGGGACAGCTCTGTGGGCGGGGATGGTCCAAACACACTCGTGACGAGTCTCCATGTAATTCAGTGAGTATGAAAATGATGTGAATCACATGCTACAACCTTCAGATTCACCAAATCTAAACTGAAGGGAGGACCAATGGGAGATAACCAGACTGCAGTGCACGCCACCATCAAACACAGAATGAGGGGAAAGAAAGCGTCCGACTCCCGTTCAGAGACTTTTAGAGTCATTTGAGCCGTTCTGGTGTGGCCGCTCACCTCACATTTCCCCTTCACTTTTCTTTGTCTCGGGTTTCAAATAAGGTACATTCATCCCTCTGACTGTAGACCTGTAATGTTCCTCTTTCTGAATTCAGACTGAACTTATTATAGTTGGCACAAAAAGCCTCAGAAACACCATCTATCCGCTATCTGGACAGCAGATACCTAACCTCCAATACCATTGCTAGAAATCTCAGGCCTGAGAGAGAGGTCTTCTTTGACTTTGAACCAGGTCTGTCACTACTTTCCTTTAGCTGACGTACTGAGAAAACGAGGCACCTCTTGACTTACAGTCATGTTGAAAGTTTATCTGCACGATAGGGACAAAAGATGGTCGTCCATCAAGCCAACCATCTGTACTTTTGCTCATCCAATCAGGCTGGTGTATTTCCAAGGCAGGCTCACAGAAATATTTGGCCACACCTTGTAATCTTTGAATCGAGTGTTTTCAGTTCCACAGGTGTATGAACTCACCTGGCCATGCAAACCTTTGTGGAAGAATGGACTCTAAAGAGAAGATCTCACTGAGCGTGGTGCTGTAACAGAACGACTCGACGAGTCACCTACTGGATAATCCACGATAACCTTGTAAGTGGTATCACTGCAAAGTGGAAGCACTGAAGAACCACTCAGCCAGGAAGTGGGTGACCATGTAAAGTTACAGAGTCACTGAGTGCTGAGGTGCAGAGTGTAAAAGCCACCAATGCTGCGAGCTTCAAAGCTCCTGTAAGTGTAACGTGTGGCTTGTCCAGTATTTCTGTTCATTTAGTGTATTTGTTACTGCTGAACTAGATTTCTGTCCTTATTATCAGGATGTAAATGTGAAAGAAATGCTGCAGCACGAGTACTAGCAGGAACTAGGCTGATCATATTTCTCCAGTACCAGCTTCTCTTTGTAAAATGCAGAACTGAATATTTTTTAAACAGAAAAAAGCTCAAT